AACTGTATATAAGCAAGATTAATTGCAAATTTAGCAATGGGAACATACAAGTATATATTATCTAGGACAAGTATCCCATTAAAATATTTGAAAAATAAAATGCATTTCAAAATATACAATTCTCTCATTGAATTTGGGCAATCCTAGTCTAGCCTTTGCCAAGTTACTGAAACTAGTGGCAAGTAAATTACTCAGTTCATTAATCAATAAATAAACTTTAGATGAAGCTAAATTTATGTCATTCAAAAGTAATGGGACTGTTGATGTTCATATTGAGAAATGACAGTCAACAATGAATTAGAAATTAATAAAAAAAAAAAAAAAATGATTTGTAACAGTTTTCAATAACTTGGTTTGACAATGTCACCATAACATTCTCCACTGAAAGGTCAATAGTTTAACTATCTATCTATATAAAGCTTAAATGTTAGTTTGCTGCTGAAAATCATACCTAGGCCATCACAGATTGAACATATGTAATATTAGTATAATATAGGGTTTCTTATTTCCCGGTCTTTTGCTTGTCCCGGGATCCCGGGATAAAAGTGAACTGTTTCCCGGGATCCCGGGAAATCCCGGGATAGAATTAATTATTTTTAAGGTATACAAAATATCTTGAAATCAAATGATATAATTATTTTCCATTTTTTAAAGTAATTTTAAAGTTCTGTAACCTCCAAAATCATATTAATAATGCTGTGTAAGGTCTATAGGCCTATAATAAAAATTACCTTTAAATAACGTAGAAATTTTCACAAATAGAAAAAAATTAATTAAAGTTTGCTGGAAACTGCATACAACAACAACAAAAAAAATGTTTTGAATTGAGTTAAAAATTAAAAAAATGAACTTCTAATTTAGAAGGTAATTTTCGTTTTTTAAATAAAATATAATACAAAATATTGCAAACTTTTATAAGATTTTAAAAAGCAAAGATGGTCAATACTCCGATAACTCACTCTAATTCTTATTTTAGTAATGAAAAGTCTTGCCACCGAGAATGCCCTTTCCGATTCAATTGATGTGATTGGAATAGTGTTTAATGCATTTAAGAGAAGACAGATATTATGTGTTTTTTCACCTGTAGCCTGGAAGATTTCGAGTTCGTTTTCGAGATTGTAGTACTTCTTTCGCTCTCTAGTATTCTTGATTTGTCTACCTTGGCTGCTTTAATAGCGGCATCAAGCTTAGAGCTCGATAATTCGGCAATTCATTTGGCTTTAATAATCAGGTTTATGAAGAAAAACTTCATACTTGCAGACTTTGTACTCGTTTGTATCCTTGCCCAATTTGCACAATCTGGCGTCAGGCATTTATTGAAGCTACTGGGCATGGTTAAAACTCAAGACAGCGTAAGCACAATTATTCCAGATATTACAGGTTCCGACAAGTAAAGAATTTTTATAGTCCTGCCACAAATAAGCTATATATTGATTATTGACCATTTGTGACATGCTATAACGAGCAAAAATTAAAAAAAACTAATAGGTAGGTTTAAAATTAATAAATACAAATGTATTCTGACAGTGAATGAGTTAATTATGCTTTTTATTTGCAAAGTTCCACAACCTTAACACAAAATAAGAAAAAAAGTGAATTTTTAAGAAATTTGAGAGATTTCCCGGGATAAGAAAAATTTCCCGGGTTAAAAAAACAACCGGGATCCCGTTTGAGAAACCCTAGTATAATATAATTTAAATATAGTCAATTGTGGAATATGAACATAAGAAAAACAAGTAACAACTGTTTTATTGAAATTAATTTTTAGACATCAGTAAATTAAAGTGTTGGTTTGAGAGAACATCTAACAGATTCAAATCCTTATTAATTAATTTTATATCATCTGCACATGCAAATACATTTGGGTGCAAATAAGATAAAGGATTATTAATGTAAGCTATGAAAAATAAATTATTGAGAACAGATCCTTGTTGAATACTACAAATTGGAAAAAATAAAAAAATTGAAGATTACTTATTATAATTTTATATACAGTAAAACTTCTCTAACTCAAAGGTCTAAGGGGCAGGAAAAACCTTTGAGTTATAGACAATTCAAGTTAGAGAACAATAGAGTAAAAATGCCAATTCTGAATAGATTTATACTTTTACCTTGCTCGCATTATATAAAGAATCTTTAATAGTATTTTTTTTTTGTTTTAAACAGCAAAATGTTCAATATAACTAATGGAATCAAACAGTTTTGCAGGTACATGTTGAAATAAAGTGAGAGGATCTCTTATCTTTCAGCAAAATGTTCAATATAACTAATGGAATCAAACAGTTTTGCAGGTACATGTTGTTGAAATAAAGTGAGAGGATCTCTTGCTTTGAACTGAAAAATTAGTATTGGAGAGTAGATACAACTAACTGCCTGAAAATCTCATGGAAATCTGATAATTAGAATCACTTTGGATAGAATAAATATTAACATTTGAGTCAGGAAGTTGAAAGTAACATAAATCAGTGTTGGGGGACCATGAAAAACTTCGACTTGAAGAAAATTTAAGTTAAGAAATTCAAGTTGGGGGATGTTAAATCCCTACGCTATTCCATTGAGACCTACCAAGTGTTTAATTTTCTTCAAGTTAAAGAAATATTTGAGTTACAGACATTTGAGTTAGAAAAGTTTTACTGTACTTTTATCAAAAAATAATTATTTAATCAACATTTAAATATTTGATCTGTTTGAAATTCTTCACTTAATATCTTTAGTCCAGTAAATCAGAACTAAAAGCTTTATAACTTATATGTCAATATAAATGGCATATGCAGGCAATTTTTCTTCCAAATAATTTAGTATTTGTGCTGCAATAAATTAGTAGTTGTGAAATGACTAGTATGTTGCAATGTACATGGCTCCTACTCAAATTTTTGTTTTAATTCCCATGACTATCCCTAACCAACTTTGTACAAATTCCCTGACCTTCATGTCCCTTACAGTATGGCCCATTGATAAAATAAAACTGCATTTGACTTACTATGTGCATACATTTTGCTTCTCCAACATTTTAATTAGTTATTTTTTCTAATTAACAGTTATATAGTTTTTTATAATTGACCAAAATTGCTTCTTGCGACACCAAAAACTAAGAAAAATATTAATACTGTCTATCAGCATTATTATTTTTTACTTGAAATATTACTACAAGTACTTTTGACAAATTAAAGATTGTCTTCTTCAGGCATAGAATAATGGAATCTTAATGGAACCTTACAATTTAAAATATATCTTATAATTGCTGAATTATTAAAATTAAAATGTATTATTAAAAGATTGTTATTAATCCATAACCATAAATCTAGATGGTTTTGAAAAAAAAAATTAATTTTTTATTATTCATTAACAAATTCTATATAATCCATGTACAAAAGTATATATTTATTAAATTTATCTCTTAATAAATTTCCTGAACTTTATAAAATATTAATATGAGAATTGTAAGAGAGAAAGTTTTATTTAAATCAATTAGTAAATTATAGTAATATTTTAGCGGCAAAAAATTTAACACATTTCTGATAAATTTGTGGGAAGGGAAGTAAAATTTCCTTTAGGAGAGATGTTATCACACATCTCCAATGAACATCTGTCCATTTAATTCAAAAATAATATCCTATCAGATGTTACAAATCCTAAAACCTAATTGGAGAGGAATTTCAAATAAAAGGGAGAGAAGTCATAATCTCAGGGCAGCAACCAACTGCTATATAGAAAAGCGGCAGCCAAAATGAGTTCACCAACTGCCATATAGAAGAGCGTCAGCAACCAAAGATAACATCGACTACCATATAGTAAATTAGATGACCCAAGAAGTATGTACACTGGCCTATTAGCCCACAAATCATCTTCAATATAGTCTGTCAACCATCTCCTGTCCATTGCTGTCACCAGACATCTCTGAAAGCAACTCAACACATACAGAAGACAACAGTCAACTAGAGGTATTATTGTTATAGAATCATCTGTAAACTCTCTCTTTAAGCGTGATAAATATCGTGTGCTAGTTTAGATCTGTTTAGTTAGTAGCTCATTTCGTTTTGTATTTATCATATGTCTATTAAATTCTATTTGTTGTTTGTTAATCCATCTATCTGTTCTTTTGTCTAAACGAAAACCCTGTCGACTTATCAGCAACTCTCCCCACTCGAATAGCTCTCCTAAAACACCATCCAGTTGACCCAGTGAGCGGGTCCTAACATCCCGACAGATCAAAGGGTTTACAAGTCTAATCTCAAACTCTCGTATTCTCACATTAATAAACTGGAAAAAAAAAATCAGAAAGTGTTTTGTTATGCAATCAAAATTATTAAAACGAAAAATGATAAATATTAACATTCAAATTAATTATTATTTTGTGTACTTTGTAAATTTTGGAAAAATTTTGTGTAAGCATGGGAGGAATTTTGGGTCCTGAAAATATTTGGCATCCCTTTTCATAAGTTGTATTGCACTACATTACTTCTTGCTGTCTGCAGATAGCTACACTTAATCAAGCATATTGTCAGCAAAAAAATCAAAGGGCAGCCAAGGAAGCAAATTCCCAGACTTTTTAACAAATTCCCTAACATTCTATGACTTTTTCTGAACACTAATGAAAATACAACTTTTCAGATGCGTAGGAATCCTGAATGTATTTACAGGCAACAATCTTGAGGTAATAGATTTTTGGATATAATGAAATATAAACAGCTTAAACGTGTGAACATTACAGCTATTAGCCCAAAAGTATTAATATTTAATTCCCTTTTTTGGAATAAGCTATAATATAGACATCAATCATTGAAAAGGGGTAAAACTGTATTTGAAGAATTTTGGAGAAAAATATGTAAAAAATCCAGCAATGAGTTGCATAACTTTCCAGGCAAAAAAACTAAAATTGTGTGTGGTGCTGTTATCTGTTATGAGATGATAATACATTATATATTTGTTTCTATATTAAAGTGAAGTAATTAAACCAAATTTAATTATAATAATGACATAAATGTTAAAAATTAACCTACTTCTGTTTGTTGTCTTTTCTTAAATATTTCATCTTCAACTTCACCAAGATCTATAAAAAGAATTTAATTATTTTTTACTATGATTACTAAGCAATAACACTGACTCAAATGTTGGGCTAAAATTCTTTGTTATATTACACCTGTTACAGGTTATCTATAGCCTGCCAAAGGCCATTTAGGAAATTCATTAGCCTATGAAAGATTGAAACTTTGCATATAAGACACATGGCGATTTTTGAGCCTTGTTTTGTGACAGAAGTCACCTCTTATATGACATAAAATATGGTAAGTTTTAAAATATCTATCTATATTTATATACTTACTTGTCATTATAAGTTGCACTCTGCAGAGATTTACTTCACCACTGTTTGTTAAAAATCCCTAATTGTAAAAAAATGATATAGTACAAGGAAAAATTATTTTTTAATTGCAATTATAACATATCAAATTTTCTAGATTCAGTATTTTAATGAGAGTATAAAATGCATAATTGTTACTACCTTTTTGACATTGTGCTAGAAATCCTTTTATAAATACAGTAATACCTCGGTTTTCGTTGACTTTGGTTATCACCAATTTCAGTTTTTGTTGATTTTTTTCATGAAAAATTTGTCTTGGTTTTCGTCGGTTGCCTCAGATTTTGTTGGTGTGTCCATGCAACCTCACTGCTAATTTTCCAAAAACAAAGGGCAACCGATGCATTTCCTGCTCAGTATGGTGCTGTTTCTTGTATGAGAATTACCTCCCATTGCATTTAGCCAAACAACTCCTCTATGACAGCTGGATGGCCAAATGTGGCAGCCTACTGCTTTGGGGTACCCGGGATCTAATGCGCATGTGGTCCGTTCGGATATGTCGAGCCCTGTCACTCACCACCCAGCCACTGCCCCACTGTGGGCTTGGCAGAACCCATAACGGGCTTGCTAAAAGAAGCCCTCTTAGTGCCCACAGGGCAGAAAAAGTTTAAAAAAAAAAAGCCAAACAATACCATTGTTTCCTTCCTTTTTAGCTTCATCATGTGACCAATGAAAGTTTCCATAGCCAGCAGCACTTCGAATGTCATGTTAAACGTCCATTTATTCTTTAGTCTTTTATATTCATTTTATATTAATTTCTTATCGTTTTCAGTATTAAACACTATTTATTCTCTATAAAATGTGTTTTTGGTATGTATTTTGGAGTGTCTAGAATAAATTAATTGGATTTACATTGATTCATATGGAAATAACTGCCTTGGTTTTCATCAGTTTCAGATTTTGCCAATTGTTTTTGGACGAATTATAGACGAAAACTGAGGTATCACTGTACTAACACGCTAACATAATATTAACAAATTTTTGGAGAATACTACTTGCAATAACAATACCATAGTTTGAAATGATTGATGTGTATCATGTACATAGTGATATTTTAATGAAATGAATATACAGAAGTACTATTATAAATACTTAAAATAAATCTTTCGACAGATGAATTGTAAACATTTCAATATATTACAATCAAATTACGTTTTTCATTCATATGATGAAACCTTCACAATATCAATTATTAAAACTTAATCATTACTGAATATTTTTTAACCAATAAAACATTAACAGTATGAAAATATAATTGATTACAAACTTTTATAATTATATGTAATTTCATAATGATGTTATAAAATAATATAGTTACAAAATACATTATATGTTGTGTATAGCTATAAAACTTATTTCTGTCAACAACAAATATCTACAAATTAAAAAAGTGATATTTTAACAAGAATTACTCTTTTGTATAATGGTTCAATTATTCAAAATATTTTTACTCAATATTTCAGTCATTTGCTATAATTTGTCTTCATTTCATACAAAAGTAAAATAAGAAAAGATTTAAAAAATAATGCAAATATTTTTTTGCCCAGAAATAAAAATTAATTTAAAAATATTTGAAAGCTTTGAAAGATTTTTAAATTTATTTCTCCATATGGTAAAATAAGTATTTGATTATAAAATGATTATTTAAATTTTTTGATTTTTACAGGAAAGAGAATTTGATGAAATATTAAACTGTTAGGTTATTTAACCTATCCTGCGTGGGCGATCCTGAATATTTTCATGTCTGCATTGGAATGTTTTTGATACTAGATATTGCTGTGTCACAATTTTTATATTAAAACAAACTTTTAAGGAGCTTTTAAGGGCTTAAGGAGTTAAAATATAATTTATTTTTTGTTTCTATATTTTTCAATATACTTATTTTGTTTGTGTAATATAAAAAATAATTTTTAACGACACAGTAAACATGATTATTATTTAAAAAAAAAAATTGTTAGGCTTAACATCAACGAAAATTCAACACGGTATCACAGGCAACAGAAAAATTTCAACATCAAATAGTTAAAGACCCTGAATTTTATCATATAATATTCTAAAATTATCTATAACTATAGAAAACATACAATAAAGCATAAAAAATAAATTGATATTATTCAAATAAATGATGAAAACAATTCCAAATTATTCAAACAACAAAAATCTGCTTTATTGAAGCTCACTTAAATTAAATAATAGTTTCTCTAGTACTTTTGGATAATTAAGCACATTGTCAGGAAATAAACAAATGAATCAAGCTTGATGACTAAATCATCTAAATTTGTTTACATAAAATCTGAATGTTACACAAACTACTGGCTTTACATCGACAATGATAACAATAACACAAGATCAGTGAATATAAATATGTGAGAATAAGTAAATATAAATAAAATAACCATAAGTATCTGTTTACTTTATATTTATATTAGTTGTAACTGTCTTTTCAAATGTTTATAATGCATATATAAAATTTAAGAATTATTATTTATAGATATAATTGTATATAACTATTATATATCAATGTATAACTAATAACTACTAAAGACAATTTTCAGATGCTTAATAATTAATATTTTAAATTAGTTTACATATATTTAATATGACAAATCTTGTCATAATATGCATCAATTACTACTGTCTATTAAAACAAATTGGAAATAATAAAAAAAATGCCTTTATTCAACAATATTCTCTTTTATAAATTAGCATATGTAAACTAATTTAAAATATATTAGCCACCCTGTAAATATAAGGCAATTTTATTATTTGTCTTATTTATTCTAGCTTAATTAATATTTTAAATGAAATTTGTGAAATAACATTTGAATGATTTATTACATATAAAAATTTAAGCAAAATATTTGATTAAAATATAATAAATAGAAGAGAAACTAATGAAATGATATCAAAACTTACCCCTGTTTTATAAACTGTATCTTTGTAAAGTGACACAAGCCTATCAATAGCTCCTTCTCTAAAAATTTCAATACAATAAAATAACATTTGAATTTTCAGAAACTTAAACAAATATTATTATAATATGTAGTGTGCAAAAAGTAAAGATACATTGCATATAAGTAGAAAGCTAATATTTTAATGACAACACTTGATTTGACCTTGAACCTTTTGCACTCTTTTTACAGTTGTTTATCATTGCTATACTGAGTCTGGTTTGAGTAGGATGTGCTTACAATGGCTACACTGATTCAGAATCCAGCTAAATGTGAAGTGTGCTCTGTTATACATTTTCTCAATGCAAAAAATGAGTGCTCAGTGGATATTCACAAACAAATTGTTTCCATTTATGGGAACATTATGAATTGATAAAATGTAAAAAGTGGTACTGTGCATTCTTTGGAAACAGGACTGATGTTCAAATGAACATAGAAGTGATAGGACACCTGTGATCTCTGATGTTCTTCAAAGAATTGAGGAAACAATTTGTGCAAATTGGTGTCTTACAATAAGAGAAATGCATGAAAACATTCTGGAAATGTCTAAGTCCATGCTGCATGACACTGTGACTGTAACATTAGGGTACAGAAAATTGTGTGCATGCTGGGTACCCAAAATATTAATGGATGAACACAAAATGAAACAGATGGGTTTTGCATTTGACTTCCTCACATGCTACGCACATGCAGGAGATGAGTTTCCCCTCTATCACATTGTGATGGATGATGAGAATTTTATTTACCACCATACTCACAAATCCAAGCAACAATTGCTAAATGACATCATATATATTCTCTAAAAGCCAAAAGATTCAAAATTTCATTTAAAAAAATCATGGCCCATGGCTTCTGTTTTCTGGGACAGAAAAAGCATTCTTCTGACTGACTTCATGCCACCCATCACCACAGTTCATGCTGCTGCATATTGTCAAACTTTGCAATGCCTTTGATAGGCCATTCAAAACAAACAAAGAGGAATGTTGACAACTGGTTTCCACCTGATTCATGACAATGCTTGGGCTCACATAGCAATTGTCACCAAAACGCTTCTCAAACAATTCAAGTGGGAAATTTTCAACCAGCCACCATACAGTCCAGACCTTGCTCTCAATGACTTCCACTTATTTCTTTATCTGAAGAAAATCTTGCAGTACAACAATTCCTTTATGATGAGATCAAAAATTAAATTGAAATGTGATTCTGGCAGCAAGCAGAAGAATTTACGACTCTGGTATACAGAAGCTAGTACCCAGATTGAACAAATGTTTGGATAAAGGCAGCATTTATGTAGAAAAATAATGTACTAGTACATGCTAGTACATACTAGGACATTTTGGACATTTGGTCAAATAAAAATGTTTTGAATGATACTAGCCATTGTATCTTTACTTTTCGAATACACTTCATAAATATATAAACAAATTAACAAAGAACAATTATTAAACTTTAAAATAAAAACAGAAAACAATGAAATAAAAATATCACAGTACATAGTAAAATTGAAAAAAAATGTAAATAATATTAAACAACTAATATAATTTTTTTAAAATTAATAATTTATATATTTATTTGTAAAATATTAAAAATATAGCTGATATAGCTTGTTGATAAAATTACTTTATTAAAATAATTTATTGTGCAATTAATATATATATATATATATATATATACTGTCATAGTTAAAATGTAAATCACTAAAACAAAAGAAAATTATCATAAAAATTTGAGAATTAAATCATACTTCATATTCATGACAGTTTCATATTAACATAACAAGTAAAACAAATCCAATCTACTCTGTATTACATTTTTATAATTTACTAATGTTACAGCAATATGAAAAATTAATATTTAATATTACCTGATTTCTAATGAAGGGAGATGTGGTAAAAAATCATTTCCAACAAAAAAACACATGAATACCCAATCATCCACAGCTCTCTGCATATAAATATTTATGTTAAGAATATTCTATTAATAAAATAATCAGGTAATTAAATTAATTTTAAATAATTTTATTTAAGATTCTCACCTCAAAGTCATATTCAAAAGGAAGATTTGGCATTCTCAGTTCTCTTGTTAAATATTCTCGTAATACAGTAAGACGAATAAAAATAAATTCAGTTTCTGGTGCAATTGGCTTTTCTAATTCATCAAACTAAAACAATTTATTGTAGTCATTAATAGAGTAAGGTATAATTTAATCTTTATATTTTACTATTAGCTACATTTATTATAAATTATAAATATATTTATTATATATTAATAATTAT